CTGCTATTGAAGTTAAGATTACAAAATTTAAAAAATATTTTTTTCCTATTCCTCAAATTTATTTAACTCCACTTCTTTTCAACCCCGAATATAAAGAATATGGTGCAAAAGCTTTAGTTGAATGCATTTATCAGAATTTAGATATTCAACCTGAAGAAGAACCTGATTTTGTAACATGTCAAAATAGTGTAAAATACTTTGCAAAATAAATGTATGATAAATATTCATTCTTAGATAATGTTGAAATTCTCAAACGTCTACGAATCAAGTAGGTGCTCATGGACGAGTGAAACATAAACTTGGTCTTGACTCTTCTAATAAATGTGAATTTGTTAAATATCTTGAACAGGGTACAGATGATATTACAAACGATAATGGTATACCGAAACTATTGAACTAGTGGAGAAATCGTGGAGCTCAATATCCAAAACTTAGTAGGATGGTGAAGGATGTGCTTGCAATTCAAGGATCATCAGTAGCTTAAGAGGCAGCTTTCAGCGCGGCAAGATTTCAAATTGGAGACCACAGATATTCGTTAGCAGAAGACAGCCTGGAGATATCAGTGTTATTTAGAGACTGGATAAATGTTGAGCGTAGAAATCAAGGACTTCCAAAATTAGATAGTCAATTTGAACTTTTCATAGATACAACTATTGGATGTGGTAGTGATGATGGCATCGAAATTCAAGATCGTCAACGAGCTTTACCAAGACCAGAAGTTGATCACAATCAATCCCTAGCTGAGTTAGAAAGAGGATTTACGGGACTATACAACTATTAGTATTACATTCGAGACATAGTTGAAACAGAATCCTTCCTAGAAGGTGGCTGCGTAAGCTATGTACTCTACTAATGGTTGTAAATTGAAATTGTAATTTGTTACAAATTTAAATAAATTAAATTGATATTTTTTAATTTTTGTAATTGTTTTATCCGTATTTTAATTTACTTTTTTAAATTACAAATTTTATATTTTTAATATTTACAAGATACAAGTTATAAATATAACTTATAAAATAAATATTAATGAATATAAGTAATAACTTATAAAGTATAAACTTCAAAAGAATTAAATTTTGAAAACTTTATTAGATTACTTGCAAACTTAACAATAATCAAAAAAATTAATAAAATATCTTTAAAATAAACTTAAGTTAAAAATTATAGTATAAATTTAAAAACTATTAATTTATACTTAAAAAATAAAAAAAATATATTTTCGTCATTTAAAAAATATCGTCCCGTTAATCCCGTCCCATTCCATCCCGGTCCGTTCCGGTTCATTCCGGTTCCGTCCCGGTATATAGTGGAAGGGAACGAAACAGATGAACGATCCCGGTAATTCCGGTCCGGTCCGGTACCGGTTCATTCCGGTCCGGTGACCCGGTTCCGGTCCGTTGACCAGACTCATTGAGGGGAGAGGATAGGGGTGAAAAAATGATATTATGAGGGCTAGCCGAGGGGGATAAAACTTGAAATGGAAAATATTTTTAAAAACAAACTTAGTTTTTTTTAAACATGGGCGGTG